GAGGCAGGATGGCCGGGGGTGTGGGATGGCCGGGTTAAGGAAAAAGAGAGAGAGAGCGATAATTCGATCGTCAGACCCGCTAAGCATTGTCTACCAAAATATCATAATAAGCCGTTTTGCGTACTCAATCAGAGTGCTTGTTACAATCAAGATTTTAGAAACAACTCGCCTGTGTTTCTTCTAATTTTTTTTTTCAATTATGTGAGATTAAATTTTTTCACTAATACAAAGGCAAATATCTAGGGCTTTTTTTCATTTACTAACCTGTACGTGTGTCAGCTTGCGAATTGCAAATACCTCTTCGACAAACAGAATTAGAGCTATACAAAGGTTAACCACTACAGGCAGCACAAAACGTTCAAAACTTCAGCAAGTCAGCATCACACTTACCTCAGATTACAAAACAAAAATTTAAAAAATACTTAAAAATTTAAAAGAGAATTCAAGGTTTTATGCGAGTGTGAAGGGAAAGTGTCGAGGTTAAAGGGTTGTTGGTCAATGTAGAGCGCAATAATTATCATTATCATTGTCTGTTGCTAATCAATAAATATGCACACCTGTGGCAATAGCACGTTGACCGTCTGTATACCGTCATATATTATGATCAAAACTGAAAAGAAGTTCGAAACTTGTCTGATTAACCGAAAATATCAACACATCATTGACAGCATGCTCTGTAGAAATTAACAAACCGAAAGTATGGAAGCCCATAATTAATTAAAATTAATTTATATCTCCGCCCGCAATAAATCTCTGATGAGAAACTGAATTCGACCAAAGAAAAACTGCAGGTTTTCGTGCGCAATTGAATTGAAAACATGAAGCTTGAAAGCGTGTTGCTGGGCCAAAATTTCAAATTAAGTGCAAAGCCAAAGTTTTCATGCGCCCGCTGGAATTTATAATTCCTAATGCAGCTGCAATGATTGAAGAAAGCAGAGGCTGTGTTTGGAAATTATGATGCCGACAAAAGTGGGCGGGGGGGGGGGGGGGCAATAAAAAAAAATCAGACAGAAAAGGAATTTAATTTTGATTCTTTGAACTTGAAAAATTTTATATAATAGGACTTACAAGTGTGAACACAGGCCGGCGCCAAATTGAACACGATCAGCGAGAAATAGGGCAGAACTCGCCACCACTTTTTAGTCCGCATCGTCCGGGCATGCAGACCGTCAGTGCGTGTGTCAATATGTCACAACAGATTTGCAAATACTATCTGCCAAAGCCATACAAATTTTTTGCGCTGCTGAAATACACTCGAGGGTGGTTCGGGGGTGGGGGATGGTGGCTCACGAATTCGCACACGCAATCACACATCGCACACACACACATTCACTCTTAGTCAGTCTCACAGTTAATTGAATTAGCAGAGAGACAACATGATGATAATCGAACAAATGTAGCGCTCCAACAACCAGTTCAGTCTTAATTTCCTCTCAAAAGAAAAATTTCCAAAATCATAAGAAAAACAAACAATACATTGCTCTTGAGGGTGTGAATGATGGGGAGGGTCGAACCGCCCTTGTCGGCGGCGCGTCGGTCTGAGGCAGCATGATGTGCAAAAGTATATAATTGAGGAAAATCAACAAAGCAGCTTTTGAAATTTGGTTTGTGTTGCCTGTAGTAATCAACAAAGTTTTTTTTGCTCACTTCCGATATACAGAAAAATCCAGATTAAAAATATTATTTCTCAACTTGTATAAAAAATCATGCGAATCATAAATATTTTGGCTACGAAAAACTTGACACTCCGTGCATGCAAACACTTTTTCGAGAGATATAGATGGGAAAACAAATCAAAAGTATGAGTGTTGCTAAGCAAAGAACGAGACACAAAGAAGAATATTCGCGCGTTGGTTTGAAAAATAATTAATTCGCCTATGGCATTGCATATTTCCTGCCCGACTAATCGAAGAGCAACTCGGGTGCAAGAGGAATCGTTCGTTGATCAATTAGTTTTTCGGCTGAAAAGTTCAGTTTTTACTCACGGCTGGCAGCGGGCTTAAGACGTCGTCGGCACAAGCAGAACAAAAGCGCGACTGGCTGAGCGGGTTCTCGAAGCGCGTCCGCCGCCCCTCGCCAATTAACCCCACCGCCGCTTATTCTTCCACCGACGCGTTGCTCACGAGCCGTGAAATAATCATCCCGAATGCAGAAAAAAATACACGAATCGATTTCAAGGATAAAATACAATAAATTTAATTTGCCCATTCATAATGTTATACTTTCAGCCGAGCACGTGCGTCGTGCGGGTTGAATAAGCAGTCTGTCTGCAGGCGCTATTCACGCTAATCCGATTGAAAGCAAAATTTCTTGTAAATGTTTTAAAATGGTAAAAAGGAAATCAGATTTTTACTCTTTGTCCGTGATATTTTAGAACTTAATAAAAATCGTGAATCAACTTTTAGAACAAATTTCTTTTAAAATTTGAGTTTGGATGAAAAAACACACTTTTAATGTTTGTTAAAGTTACATGAAATTTAATTCATAAAAATTACTTCTTCAGATTTAAAAATACCTCCGAAATATTTTCTTATTTTTATTAATCGGTTTGAAAAATATCTTTTGGAGGATTTTAAAGCAAATTCATTTGCAGAATTCAAAGGCTTTCTTTTTACTTTCATTTTTTTTTATAATCAATAATAATGACGCGTTCGATTGCCAGTTATTTTTTTTTCTATTATTAATTTGGTCGGTGTTTCTTAAATTATCGTCACTCATCATATTAATTATTGCCTAGCGTGTGTGACATAACGTGGGTCGCGAAACGTGAGCCGGTTGCTCCTGTTGTTGGCACGCACCGAGCTGTGAGGTGTGACTCGGCGACGGGCGCATATTGAATTTCGGTGAACCAAATGGCAAAGCAGGTGATGCACTTTGACATGGGAGAGCGTATCGTGTTGGTATTGTGTGTTTGTTTCAAGAGAGCTCTAGGCAGCCAGGTGTGTTGCTTGCGTCTCTCCGCGAATGTTGTACTTTAGAATTTACTCAACTTTTGCTCTCCGAGAAAGCGAGCTCTTGAGACGTGACAAGCGATGGTTTAATTTTAGCCGATTTGCTTTATTTTTTTATTTTTAAATTATGTGAGATGAATGGAGATTTATATAAAATAATTTATTTCCTCTCCGAGGTCTATAATTACACGTGCGGATGAGTTTAATTATATTTTATTGCATCACTTGTGCCATTCATAATTTAATTAATAATTATTTTTTATAAATTTTAGTAAATTTTATTGATAAAATTGGGTTTTAATAATAAACAATAGAAAATAAATAATATAATATAAATTATTTACAAAAATTTCAATTTAAATTTACTCAATGTAAATGTTTCAAATAAATAGCCACAAAAAAGTTTTAAAATTAATTAATTTATAATTTATATAATGATTAATATTGTTGCTAAAAACTTATATCATTTGAATTAATTAAATTTTATAAATAATTTCAAATATTTCTTCTACATCTACCACCAATTAATTTTAATCTTTTTAACAAACTTGTATTTTTTTTTTTACGGTGCGAGTGTTTTGCTTTTGCTTTGCGATTTGCATATTAGTGCACGCAACAGAAAGCTGCTGGCTTGAGACCCCTTGAACTTTTTCTGCTTCTCTCCTGCGGCTCTAGATAGAATTTGTTCAACGAACCAGTCGGTCCACGTGACAGCCCTTTTCACTACATAGCATTGCGAAGCTCGACAAGCGCCTCGCGCCCACCACCACCGTAACAGCATTACCGCAAAACTACTTTTATTTTCTCGCCGATTTCCCGGTCGTCCTCAATTTTCTAACTCGATTAGACAAGACTCGCCGAACCAATACATCGATCTGCAAATCGAACTAAAGCTTGACCTAAAAAATCGCACCTTGAGTTTTGCGCAAATCAAAGTGAATTTGCACGTGCAGATTATATATTATTTCTGTTATATTTGATTTTCAACACGAGTCTTGCGTGGTTTCTCCACAAATTTGGATTTTTTATTGGTGAAAAAATTGAATTTGTTAAAAATTTCAAAATTTAAATACTTTTTGAATACTTTGAAGATTCAAATTTGTTTTCATTAATCCAATTTTTTTCAATTGTGTTAAAAATTCAAAATGGTTGCTATCGCTAGAAATTTAAAAATTGCTCTGATCCTTAATTTTCCTTTAATTTCTCTCATAAGTTAGATTTTTAAATTTTTCCCCCTTGTTGTAATAAATATGGAGTGAAAATCGCTCATTTAAATTGCTAAAAAATACCCTAATTTTATCATCGGTAATTTTTCCTTTTTTGCAATTTTGGGCAAAATTATTCAAGCTATTTTTTAACAGTTAAAAATTCTGTTTTGTATGAAACGTTTCCAATCAATTCAGCGACTTTTTTTCCAATTTTGATATTCTGTCCGCTTTCGTCACGAATATTTCAGCCAGTGAGTGCAAAGTAACAAGTGAGAACGAGAGTGCAAAAAGTGTGAGTGCTGCAACAATTGCATTAAATTTCAATCCGTCACCACCAGATTAATATTTTTTAATCAACTTTGCTTGCATTAAATCATTCCTCTATTTATAAATAACAATAGCGAATAACTTTTTTTTGTTAGTCTTTTCGGAAATATGCCATGCCTTAGAATAATTTAAACATTTCAAGAGAAGCTCCTGGAGCGAAACAAAGAAAACAAAAAATAGAAAATAAAACGAAAAATGTTAATCATAAATTAACAAATTTTGATATAATCGGCACCGCGCTGCACCAAAGAGATGACGAGATGACACGTCTTTGATGGTTTTGGGTGATAAATTTTTTTTTTCTAAATCATTTTTGTGTGAAGTGTCGAGCGCGCGATTGTCCAAAAGGGCGATTGTGCTCAATTTTTTTTTTTTTTTAGTTGGCACAATCTCAAAACTGTGTGAGTGTATATTTATTTTTTTGATGGGTGCTAATTCAGTACTCGGAAAAATCAAAGATGGGGTTCGGAACGAAGACTTGATTTGAGATTAAGAGAAAAGCTGGGGTCCCTACCTTGTGCTGGGGTGGTCACGTCGGTCAGCGTCTCCGAGCGCCACGTCTCGGTCTCGGCAAACAGAGCAGCTTCTGATGCAGAAGGTTCAGCTCCTAAAATTATTAACGGAAAATTGTTGTAAAATTTTATTGAAATGATATAAAATTTTAAAATTAGAATTTTTTACTTTTTACAAAGAAATTAGATTTCATTCAAAAGTAAAAATCATTCAAATTTTACTTATTTATTATTATTTACTCAAATTAATTAATCATTTTTATTTAAAAATAAAATGCGAAGCAAAAAATCCCATTTTAAAATTAATTTTTGATTTTTTTTAATCAATTTTGAATTTTCTTTCACCTTGCGTGACGGATGTAGTGATGGTGGTGTGCGTGACTGTATGTGTGCCGTCCGGCGAGGTGTACTCGGAGTGCTCCTGTCGAACCACTCGGGTTTCCCGTTCAGGGAAATCTTGTTGGCCGAGCTTCGGAGTCGATGAAACTGTTCGAGAGAGTAAAATTCAAAATCCTGAATTGGGTGAATTTTCCTAAAAAAAATGAATTACCTGTTTCTTCTTTGAACTCTGCTGGGCTTGGGGGTGGCGTCTTTGAAACTCGCGAAACCTCTGCAAGATTAGGGTGAAAAATGAGGATAGGGGTAGAATTTCATGGGAAATTTGCTAGTTTTAAACTGAGTTTCCAAGCCAAAGAATTTGTAAAATGAATGAAAATTTTTAAAATTTCCTTTCATGAATTTGTAGTTGTTGATAGACAAGATGAATTATTATAAGAAAAACTTCCGAATTATTGCATTTTTAAATTTAGCTTTTTCATCACAAATTAAACATCTTTTTTTTTCAATTGCAAAATCTTTGGCTCCCTCACTCTATATTTTGCCTCTTTTTTTCTGTTTTGTTTGTAAATCCCTTAAAAAATTTTGCAAACCCCATTTTTTTCTAACATGCTTTAATTTTTTTGCACATGCATGAAAAAAACTGGCCAATTTTCTCGGCAAAATTACGAACGAGGTGCTGATAATCGTCAAACTCAGTTTGCGCTAACTTAAAAAATCGCAGTCTCTCGCATGTCTCAACAGTGTGCACTTCTTAAGATAACGAAATTCCAAAAATGACGCACGAATCGCATGATCAGAAGAAAAAAAATTGAATTTTGGTGGCGGGCATTCATTTATGAATATGTGACAAATTAACTTTTTCCAAATAAAATATATTTTTTCTTTATTAATTCCATCACCTAAAATTTCTGTGCAGATTTTCTAAGACTAAAATTTTGCTCTAAAATCAATGGCAAAATGAATATGAATTTATGGGGGAAAATTTTCGCGTAATTTTTTCTCTCAAAATTTTTTTTTTTTTTATATTTGGTCGACTTGTTGAGTTTGTTAAATTCTGCGCAGCTTCCGTTTGTTCTTCCTTCGTTTTCTCACCTTCGCTCTGATTCAACTTATCGATTCGGACAAACTCGTCCGAGATCTCTTGGCGCAGGTGGTCGTCGGCCTGCTGTTGGGAGCGGCTCTCGGCCTCCTCGACGTAGTCCTTCTCCTCGGCCACGTACTTGGTCTCGTTAACGTCGTGTTTTTCCACGATTTTCTCGATCAAATCATCTTTTGGCCGCTTGTCTGCAATCAGCAATGGGCCACTCCAACAGACTCGACCAGATTGTCTCATATTTTTCTGCATTTACTCCGATTTTAAATATAGAGAAAAGGGGCGTTTTTTTATATTTTTTAAATAGTAAAGAGCCAAATGAAGAGAGTAAATTAATGATTTCAGGCAGAATGATTTAAAACGAAAAATAAGAATATATGCATTCCAGAAATAAAGAGACATTTAATTTTTACGGACGATTCGGGACGACTATAATTAATTGATTGATTGAAGAAATAAAACATGCAGTGCTGGTCGCTAAAATGAAGTCTCTGAAGCAGAACAATAAGCCAAGTTGGATGCACATAAAGCAAACGAGTGATTTATTTTCGACTAAAACTATAAATAATTCAAAATGCATAACGACGAAATGTGAATTAACAAGATGCAGAGAGTTTACCTTTTATCATTGTGTGCAGTTTAATTTTCACTAATTCTAATTAAGAAACTCGTTTGCCTGTGGCGACATTCAAAAGAAATTATTTTATATAAAAGCGAGAGAGAGGAAATTAAAAATAAGTAAAAAGCAGCGGTGGTTAAATTTTAAATATCCAGAAATATATATATATTTTTTTTAAACGAGATGTGTGTATGTTAATTTTATTTATTTGTATAATTTAAGGCTTAGAATTAAAGAGGGGAGGAGATAGAGTGACATGGACTAATTAACAAAATCAAAATAAATAGTAATCAGAGCGAGAGTTAAAAACCATCTAGACTTGTTTGTTTAAATGTGAAGCACAACAGCGTTTTCGTGTTTTAGTCTCTTAGGATTCTAAAAATAAATAGTTCACTAATTAATCGTCTACAAACTAAAATCTTGACAAACACATCTGGGTAGTTTTTTCGCCAACAAAAAGAGAAGTGGTAATAATAATAATAGTACATGATGTTCTCCGCAAATTAATAAATGGTGAGAGTCGACGGCAACAAAACAATATGATAAAATCTCCAGTGAGGAAGCAGACACAGAAAAACGTTTTGTCGAAACTCAAAATTACAGTAAAAGCAGCGTAAAAAATAACGATTAAAAGTCTCTACATGATTCCAAGTGTGGTTGTGCAGGGCACACATATATAGATATATAATTTATGAAAGAAAGAAAATGCTTTAATAACAAAGTGTGACATGCAGCGTGTCAGATCTGAAGCCGTTCTCTGAGATTATACACATGCCGTACAAAATAAAAAGGATTTTTCATTACAAATAATTTTGGCTCCCGACTTCTTCTTTTTTTTTTTATTCATTTCCTAGACTAAAGCTTTCAAAGTTTAAAGTGTCGTCAGCAGACACTGGAGGCGACTTCACTCGTGTGTTTGTGAAGGCACAAAATCCTTTTTCCGAACGAAGCCATGCATAATTTTTTTTTGTAAATAATTTATTTGATCAGCATGCCGTGCAGCTGTGATTTTGAAAGTCTCACAAAGTGGTGTAAGAAGTGGTGTGGGTGTGGATTTAACTTCTAATTTAAGAGTTTTTAAACATGAAGCGCAGAGTGGCAGGTGATTTTTTTTATGTTAAGCTCTCTAAAGTTGCTTTTTGTTTAGGAGAATTTAGATTTGTTTTTTCGTTTTTAGTTTGGTCTCAGCTGCTCTACTCGAGAGGCTCACCTTCCTTGACCGTCACTATCGTTTCGGACGCATTCAGCTCCTCTACTGACTCGGAATCCTGAACAGAAAATTCAGTCAATTGATTTAATTAAGAGATGATAAAACAAAAACTGACTCTCATCAGGTCCTGCTCGTCGTACGAGGCGTCCAGGCTGACATTTCTCCTCATCGAAGTGTCTCTCGAGGGGCCGAGCTCTTCTTTGAGGTTGTCGAATCCGGACTGGTCCAGCTGCACTTTGGCAACTGCCCTTTCCATCTCATCAGTGACAAGCTCCACGTTGAACATGCACTGCTGCACAATGTCCTGGGAAAATAAAATAAATTAGAAAGAATTGAATTTAAATTTTTCAATAAATAATTAAATTGTTTTCAATCAAACCCTTTTTTGTAATATGAGACAGAATTAAAATCATGAAGAGTTGTAAAAAAATCTGACAAATTTGGAATTAATCAATTTACAACATTAAATATGAAAATTTTGCATAATTATCTACACTGAGAATTATGTTAAGTGAAATGTTTCCCATAAGCTCAATTGATTTTATTTTGCCAACTTGATTACGGTGACATTGAACTTTATTTTGGTAAAATTAAGAAAATAAAATTATTACAGAAAATTCATATAAAAGTCGTGTTAATTCTAAAAAATTCAGGTCCCCCAATACATTTAATTTTAAATCTATAAATAAATTAAATAATTTTTTAAATTAATCTGTCATTTTTTTAGAAATTCTGATTTTATTTTGTTAAATCAAATAAATAATTTTGAAACTATTCAAGAAATTCAAAATAATAATTGAAAATATAATTTTTATGAAAAAAAAAAGTTTAAATTTTTAAATTCTCACTTGTCTGCCAATTTTGTTGAGGGCCTTTTCAAGGGTGTTGCCAGTGGCGCGGTTGCTGTTGTTCTGCATCCACAGGCGCAACATCACCATGCCCTGCTGCGGAACGCTTTCGGGGTACTCGGCCTGGATCAGGCTGATCTCGGACTGTTGGACGCCCAGCTCGTTGGCCAGCGGCACCCAATCTCGACCCAGCAGGTTGCAAATGTCCGACAGACGCAGGTCTGCTCGGTGGATTGATTCCGAGTGGGCTGAAATTAAATTAAAATTTCAAAGATTAACGCAACAATATAAAAAAAAATCCTTCAAAGAGATAAATTAAAAAAAAATTACAAAATAAAGAATGTCAATAATTATTGAATATTCAGATTATTGCATGAAAATAAAATTTATTTTCAAATAAAATTAAGCCAAAATTTCAGTTTGAATCGAATGAAATGAGAATATAAAAAGCTTTTATATCTTTGCCAAAAGAAAAGTTTGTAATTCTTTTTTAAATTAAAAAAATTTACAATTTTATTGCCTTCAACTATCCATGCGTTCAATTTAAATGAAATTTTTATCTTTTGCAAATTAAAAATTTTTTGAAAATTTTCAAAATTTTGCAGCAGCTTACTGAATGTTTCTCTAGTGAGGGTGAACTTTTTCTCGATGAGGTCAGCCTCGTGGGGCGCAAAGTTGTCGGGCAGGACGATGTTGAGCACGCAGATGGGCGTCTGCTGCTGCTCGCCCTTGGGCACTTTGGGCTCGCGCATGAAGAGGATGCGGCCGACGGTGTCCGCGTGCGGGTCCTTGACCCGCACCGTGAACGGCAGTCTGTTCTCCTTGAAGGCGTGGAAGCCGAGCTGCAGCTGCTCCCCGGACTTGGTCACCGGCACCAAATTGCCGTTGAACTCGACCCACTGGGTCTTGCCCTCGAGCACCTCCACGTCGCGGCTCTTGGCCATCTCGCTGAAGTGCTCCTGGTGCTCCAAAGTCTTGTCCTCTTTGTCGTCTGTCATGCAGAAAATGCGCAGACGGGCCTCGAGAAGGTCCACGCGTTTTGCGAACACGACAAACCTGCACGCGGAAAAATGAGAGTAAAAAATGCATTCAATTAAATGAGTGTCAAAAATCAATTATTTTGTTTATTCCTTAAATGAATTTTAATTATTTGACACAAAATAATTAAACAAAATCAAACAAAAACTAGGAAATTTCATATTTTTGAAGTAAATTTTAGAGAAAAATTCACATTTGGGGCTGATAAAACAAAATTTGCATTGAATGAAAACGGGACTAGAATAATTTGTTTCTCACAAAAATGTTATAAATATTTGATTTTTTTATAAATAATTAATTAAATAGTCATTTTCTCCCTTAAAACAGGCCCGAATTTTTATTTAACAAACCTATAATTAAATTTATTTTTAAAAATGTGCACAATTTAAAGAAATATATCAATTGAAAAACTAATAATTGAGCTACAAGTTTTAGGACTGATTTAAAAAAAAAAAATGAATTCAAATAAATAAAGAGTAAAATTACTTTTTTATTTTTTACATCAAAATTTTGTGTTTTTGGCTACTTTTAGAAGTTTTCTTTGAAATTATTTCATATTATCTGACACTTTCAATAAAAAATAGGTTAGAACAAACTTTCATAAGTTGATAAGTAAAAAACATAAAAATATATTATCTAGGCGAAATCAGGTTGTTTTCAGGCAAAAATTATACACTGTTCATCAAATTGAAAAGTGCATAATAAAAAATTAATTTGTACCAATTTTCCCATCCCTAAAATCTAATGCATAATTAAATTTCCTATTAAAAACTACTAAAAATAAAATAAAGTAGATTGAATTTAATTTTTTATGCAAATTTGCAATTCCAATTTAAAAATAAAATTGTATATTTGCATTAAAATAAAAAAATGTGATTTTTTTAAGTAATAATTGTTTAATAATTGAAAATTGTAAATTTTACTAATTTGCCAAAATTGAAATTGGATTTAATCTTACTTTGCCATGAAGGGGACGTGGATGGCCTCCTTGTAGAGTTCGGTGGCCATTCGCGTCGCCTCGCTGATGTTGCGGCAGTCCATGAGCCAGAACCTGGCCGACACGGTGGTGGTGAAGGAGACGCAGTCGTTGACAAACGTGAGCGGCGTCGAGCCCGTGACGTCCTCCCACTGCGCCCGCGTCGTCCCACCTGCGACACACGTTTGCGGTCAGTGCGTCCGAAGCGTCCGGACGAGGGCGCCTGGGGGCGCCGCCTGAGGCGGCGCCCCCGGATGCACCAGAGAGGCAAGCAAAGCTCTTTTGGGAGTGGAGGAGAGACAGTCAAAGCAGGTGGAGCGCCAAATTAGAGCCGAATTCAAATTCAAAATTTAGTTACGATTTTTTTTTCAATTGGAATAAACTTCTGAGCTCAATTTTGGCGACTTTTTGTCCAGATCCTGGATCGAGAAAGGCAAAAAATAGTGAAAATTCTCTAAATTTTGAATTTTATAAATAAAAATTTGAAAAATTACAAATAATTTTAAGTTCATTGAATAAATAATAAAAACAATTGACAACTGTCATCAATTAATTGATTTAAAATTAGCCGAAAAGAGGTGCAAAATTTCTATCGAATCTCATTATTATTATGATTTTTATTTTTGCCATTCTCAAGTCAAGATTTTCTTATTTTTGTCAAAGAAGAACAGTAAGAAAGTCCAGCAAGTCCTGCCGGTTCGCATATAAAAATCCTCATGATCATGCCAGCCTAATTTTGAAACAATACGATCTGAATTCGCAGTGGTGCGCTAAGTATATAAAGTCTTGAGCTAAGAAAGTATTTCTCACAATACAAGTTCCAAACCAAGGAAAAAACAGCAACAATTGAATACGTAGCCAGATGCCGCAATCAATGAAATGTAAATTAACCAGTCAAGGCATGCAGAGAAAAGAAGAAGTCGCAGGGTCCAACCAACCAACTCAAACTACAGTTTCGTAATAAAATTCGTGAAATATTATATAATAATAGAAAGGTAGTGAAAAACTGAACGAAAAGATCAAATTGAAAAAACAAAAACCGAAACGTAACTCTTTAGAGAGACCTAAAGCTTCAAATGGATTTTCTTTTATAATTCTCCGGAAAAAATCTGACTTGCCGTGTCACAAAAGAAAATCAAATATATATTCATAGGAGGGACAGCAAAAGCAAACCAAACTCAACCAAAAGAAGCGACCGGAGAGGTTTATATAAATTTGAAAACCAGAAAGAAAAAAGCTGGAGCACGTGTCCAGAGCGCTTGAAATCAAACAGTCAAGCAGCTGTTGGTTTCAGAAAAGACCCTTGAAGGGCAACTTTTTTACTCGTCCGAACCCCGACGACCAAAAACTGAACCAGAAACAAACCAAAAAAAGAAAAGAGGCGCGCGTCTCATGTCATTATAAGTTTATTTATTAATTTTTTTTCGATTCTTTTGCTCGCAAGTAGTGTGTATAATAATTTTAGATATAAAAGCAGCCTTTGTTTCAAGTGCAGGAGATATAATTTGTCTAGGATACTGTCTTAAGATTAGATAGAGGTGCTGAATGCATGTCAGTGTACAAGATACAGAGCCATATATAATAAATTAATATTCAGTATTGTAATGTATATTTATGTCGAGGGAGGAGCGGCGGAGGGAGGACTGCGAGATTGAACAGAGACTACTGCTGATATATAAAAAGGTTGAAGAAAAGAGTGGAAAATTATAAACGTAATACAAATAATTAATAAAGTGTTGTGGCAAATTGAAAGTAAATGAAAAACTATGAAACTCAAGCGAATTGTAATTTTTTTTTTCAATAATGGAATGAATGAGAGGTAAATTTTATTGAATGATTTTCCGACCAATCCTGAAAAATCAAATGCTCAAAATTTTTAAGAATTCACAGAGGCTCACGCAGGTGTGCTTCTTCAAACCGCAAAACAAAAATTGTGTTTTCCGCAACAAAATCCATTTGCACTTTAAGTCTGCTTTTGCGTCGTGAGAGAAAAACTTGACTCTTGATTTTTTTTTATTTATTTAGATTTTTTTCCTTGCTTATTTAGAAAAGTAAAAAAAGAGTCCAAAATGCAAACCAAGGAGAGAGGAAAACTGTAGAAAGTGTAGAGGAAACTCATATAGAGAGACTCGGTCAACTAACGAAATCAACCTAAATGATAAGGTGAGAACCAAAGAGTGAACAAATATAATGAGTCATTATATTATATTAATTGTCAAAAATTTGTGATTGATTATAATCGATGCATGACTGTCTCAAAATAAACAAAGAGAGAGAGAGGCGGATCCAGATTCATTGAGATGTATATAGAGAGAGGAGAAATTATGCATAATAGAAAAACAATTAAAATGAATGTATAAAAGAGAATGAGAGAAGAATAATGAAAAAAGTGTTGCCCTTTACCTTTAAGAGATCTTTTCCGAAACACCCCTGGGAAAGCGTGCAGCATATTGAATTATAAAAGAGTGAAGGGGCCAGATATTATCTATATAGAAATATAATTATATTTCTGAATTTGTTACAACAATTTGTCAACTGAATTATTTAACAGAAATCGTAGAACGGCCTTCGGGGTCTCGGGTATTGAAAACGAACGAAAAATAATAAAGAATCGACGAGATTGCTCGGTAAAAAAGTTGGCCAGTCTGCAAAAGTAGATACATCAAACACACACCGATTATGTATAAAATAAATCGAGGCGCGGTTTTTTTCCAGGACGATTCAAACCAGGAGGGAGGAGCGAAAGAAAAATCAAACCCGAGGAAAACTTGAAACTTCTTCAGTCCGACGGACGAAAAGGAAAGGAGAGAGAAATATATATAGAAAAAGAAAACCAAAAAACACCACATCGAAGAAGAAATATTTAAGAATATACCAATCAAAAATACTGCTAATCTTCTGAACGAAAAAGTCAGAAACTATTTTAAAATTATAAATCTGTCTGTATATAGAGAGGTATTTAAAAATACTGAGAGAAAGAAAACTGAAAATGCAAGAGAGAGAATATATATAAAAGTACCAACATAACCAAAAGTGAGAGAGATTTTTAACCAACTCGTAAAAATGTAAATATAAAAGGAGAATGTTTTTGAAAGTCAAAAAAGGCCTCCCGGGGGCAGCTCGGGGGCCCGCCGGGGGGACGCTCTTGCTTCTCTTTCTTCTCCTACTTTCAAATGAACAAAAGCGACAACACCGAGGGGTTGGGGGCGGCTGTCGGAGGCGCGGGGGCGGCTCACCTGTGATGCTGCAGAGGAGTCGGAGGGTGGGCGCCTCGCCCGAGTACTGGTTGATCATGCCCTTGTTGGCCGCCTGGGGCACCGGGATGGTCAGCGTGATGGGTTTGTGGAACTTGCGGCGCCGCGGCTCCACGGTCACGATCGGCGACACGGCCACGCGGTTGCCCAGCATCTTGGCCACCAGTTCGGCCGCAATCGGCTGGGCCTTTTGTTCACACACAGAGAGAAAAGTGATTCGCCGTCCTGCTTTGCTTTTGATTAATTTTAAAAGTCCGAAAGTGTCCCCAAATGTTTTTGTTTGAATTCTTTATATAGATCAAAATTTGGAGATTTAATTAGGAGTGCAAAGTTATTTTTTCTACCACATGCATCAAGTTCCAAAACCCAGTTCGGAGCGTTTTGCTAAAATAAATTTTTACATATGATCTGAATTTTTTAATTGCGGATGTTGATTTCAAGGAATTCATTAATTAGGAAAACTGAATTGCTTCTTATGGGAATTTTCTAAAATATTTTTTCCTTTAAAATTGAGGGACTAAATTTTATAGTTCATTAGATTGGCAAAATAAAACCAATAATCTCAACCTCAAAATTGGTCCCATGACAAACTTTGTAAGTAAATATATTTTCAGAGTAGATACTGTACAAGCTCCTTGTTAATTAAAGATTATTATAAATTAGAATCATCTTGTTATAATTACAAATTTAATTAGTTTTTATAAAATATTATCGACTCCAAACTGGGTTTTCAGAAATTAGTCCTTCATCCCAGTACGTTATTTGTTTGTTAGTAAAATTTGAAAAGAAAGTTAGTCAAAAGCAGGCAAGAACCAAAAAGTAAGCAGGGCTCGACCACAAAACATGTATTGAAAAAGCCAGAAAGAATAAAGAAAACATAATTATTATGTGTAAAAGCCCAAAAACAGACAAGTTCGCTTCAGCAGTGCATTTAGATTTTTCTTTCTAAGTAAGAAATTTTGAGTGCATTTTTTTTACGCCCAATAAACTTAGCTAAAGTGGATTCGAACCGTGCTTAGTTTTGAGTTCTCGAATGTATTCATCACTTCTTCTTTCTCGTGTTGCCCTCTCCCTCTCAGGGTGTGCTAACTACTTTAAATAACTCGCCTGATTGTGTTTTGTTTGCCAGTTTAACTAATTTTATTGGGCACTAGAGAGACCAAATGCATAATACGAGAAGACAGCACTACAGCAGCATCAAGATTCAAGATAGTTTGGAAAAAAGTGAGTCCACAACCAAAAGCATTATCGTGAGAATTTACATATAATAATAAAAAAGACGGTCACTTCGCAGAGACACCACGTTTCGAACCCATTTCATGCAAGCAGAATTCTAGATAACTTAGAAAAGGGGGACTGCGCTAGATTCTAAATTTTCAAAGTCAATTCAAGGGACGGAGTCAAATTCAGAAATTTCCCATCAATTTAATGAAAATTAAAAGCCCTCAATTCCAAATTTTGATTATTAAAAAATAGTATTCTCGATCAATTTAAAATTTAAATTCTTGCAAATCAATGTAAAATTTACAAAAGCCAAAAATAAAATACTAAGCATACCAAGGGCTTTCTTTAAACTCTTTTCAAGCCCACCCTTTTCCAAGTTGTGTTACAAACTACTAATGACAACCAAATATAAGTACAATTATATTTCCGATTAGTAGTTTTAATTGGTTTTGGAGGAAACCCAAAACAAGAAGCTTTTGACACGGTCTTTTTCAGCTTTTGTGCATGCACAGGATTACAATTGTTTTGAATAATAATTATTTCCAAGGCAGCATTTTGCCTCAATTGTGACTAGGGGTTATTATCTTTGGTATACATGTGAGTGAGGTAAATAATCCATACAAAATGCTTAAATACTTTCCCATATCTCAACCAGACCAAAATCCAAATCAGTGCACTTTCATCTCAACTACAGGGGTAAATAGATTTTATAATAATATTTTCCAATTTTTGTTGAAATCTTCAAAGAAGCGTTTTAAGCGTGTTCGGGACTAGCGAAGTTTCAAAAGTTTCTCAAGAGAAAGACGCAAATTTCACAGACACCCACCAAAAGCTACAGCCAAATCCGAAAGCATGCATACTTTCAAAATTGTATGTACACTTCATTAAATTTTAGAAAACATTTTTAAATTTATTGATATTCCCATCCCTGTATATTTTTTGTGTGTGTTCAAAATTTTGTTATCAACAATTTGCGCCTGTTTCACAGATCGTAGGCAGTTGTCGTAGCTCGTGTTCGTCATTTTACCAAATGAGGGAGAACCGTTTCTTTTTCGGGATGTGATTGACGGTGATCTTTTTGAGGGGCCCCGTGTGTCCCTTGCGCGGTTTGAACAGATTTACCTGCAAGCCGACTTTGATCTTCTTGGTGAGGGCGCCCTGCGGGAAGACGGCCTGCACCTGCGGCACCACGCTCGAGGAGACCATGCCACCTTCAGGGCCGATGGCATGCACCTCCTGGCGCACCCGCGAAACGATCGCAAAGTACTGCGGGAACTCGGTGGTCAGGATGCGAGTGATTCGGTTCGTGTTCATGTCCTCCAGCTGGGTCAAATCTGCAACAAAATACGGCAATCGAGAATGAAAACAACATTCGTGTAAACCACAAAGATCGAGAAATGAAATATGTTTCAGTGTCACCATGTTCTTCACCACATGACATATAAATTATGAAACATATTTTACTTTGATAATTTTTGGAATCGAATAAAGAATTAATAAATATTATATAAAATAGAAAAATGTGCAAAAATGCAAAAAAAAGTGAGCTTTATGATTGAATTTTTTTATAAATTTAATTTTAGTCTCTCAACAACTAGATGTGTGAATTCTACTTCTTTTTTGGAGGCAAAACGTTGACAATTTTCATTAAATATATTATAAAATTTTTCTGTTTTGATTTTGTAATGGAAATTTTCAAAATGCAGGACATTTAAATATAATTTTAATCGCATCATTTCTGAACTTTTGTCTGCTTTGATCTGTAATTCCCAACAATTACTCCTGTGTCTCTTACCTTCTCCATCAAAGCTCTCTTGCAAAACCTCCTGGATCGCCTCTTCACTGGCCTCCAGGGTGTGCTCACGCCAGGTTTCGCCATTGTCTGACCTCAAGATGACAATCTCCCTTTCCTTGCCTCTCAAGGATCCAAAATGTGGAACCTCGATGATCACAGGGCTGCAAAGAAGTTAAATTGAAATTGATTTTATAATGTTAAATTATCAATTAACAATAAATTTATTATTATTTTGCAACTTCTCAAAAACTTTAAATTATAATATTAATTTAAATAATTTTACCTTCATCAAATTAGATTTTATTTACAGGAGATTGTGATTTTTTTTATTGATAAATATTATTTGCAACCAAAATTCTCACCCAAGGAATTTCGCGCCAACGGGACCAAGTTCCAGGATCCTGCTGGACAGCGCCTCGCCCTCCATCAGGGGTGGAGGGTGAGTGAGTTTGTCCTTCTTGAGGTACCTGCAGGTCACCCTCATGGGCATGGCGGCCTTTCGGGGAGGCACAATCACACGGACGCCTGAGTGTCTGCAGCCGCGCATGGCGCCGCCGCGAGCGTCCACCATGAAGCTCACCAGGAACCTGTGACGGTGGCGCAGCGTTAGTTTTGGGTTTCACTTGGTTCACAAAAGCTGTCTGTTCAGGTTCCCAAAACTGGTATATATGTGCAATTTTTTAGGAGTATGTTTTGGGAAAATAGAGTCCGTGAACCCAGACATGCAGCAAATGAATCGTCTAATGTAAAAATTTCCAAGGCTGAGGAAATTATTCGGATTAAAATAATAAACGAAACAAATCACCAATAATTGTCTAACATAACTGAAGAGGTGCAAGGACGAATCGACAAGAGAAAGAATAGACAAATGTGTTTACAAAAGGTCGGGTGAAAAATGCAGAGACGTGTGTCACACACTTACGTTTTCCAGTGCAGTTTCCTGATTGGCCAGATTATGAGAGCAGATGAGAGATTAATTTTATGTATGCGGATAATGAGAGTATTAAAAGGTTTTAAGAACGAAAATCCACGCCACCACGATTGTGAGTGAGGCAATAATAAATAATCAATCCGGCCCATTCTTCCCAATCAAACACACAAGCAGTTGTTAAAAAATTTCTTAATCATAAAATGTTAGCACAAATGAGTACAAAAATATTCAATAAACATATTTAGTTAATTCAAAAACAATTGTTACGCTCAGGAGTTGCAATTTTCAACAGAAACAAATCCTATAAAACTCAGAAAATTAGTCAGAAAAATAACAAAATATTTTATACAAAAATCAAATTTTGCTGAACTATTGTCAGTCATGCAAAATTTGCAGAAATATATATAAATTTTTTTTTAATAAAAACAAATTCGTTCAGGCAGCATATAGCTATTAATCAATTAGTGTAAAAAATAACAAATTAATCAACTTGTGAATAAAATATTTAGGCAAGAGCTGAATTTGTCGAACCTTTCCCTCGCCATTCCTTGGCTGGGTTTGGCCACTTCTGCCAGGGCACACGCTAAAAATAAGCTGGACAAAGAGCTGTTTGGCGCGTCCAAAAAACAAAACAAACCAGGTATTTATCAGGTGGAAAGAAAGGAAAATTAATAATAAAATTAAAAACTCAGCAATCAGCTGGTTGTACTCATTTGACTAATTCAGGCAAGCCATTCATCCTCGACACGCAAACAAAGCCCAAAAATATTCTTGTCGTGTTTTCGTCGCAACAATATGTGTGAATGTATTAAACCATCTGATTCAAAAGAATGTGGAGAAATGTGTCAAGTCGACTTACCCCACGCTGACAGGGTGCTTGGCAATGTCCACATTGTCCGGCGCGTAGTTGACCGCCGAGTAGTGCTCCTTGTGAGTTGGGCTGAGTGAGTCATCGTGGACGGTCACTGGAGCTGCGAAAGAGACTGATTGGACTTCAAACATTTTTAAATCCCTTAAAAATTTATCAAATTTATTTAAAAGAAAAAAATCAGTATTGACTAAAACAATATTGAAATTTAAAAAAAAAAGTTGTCTCGCTTTCTAAATAATGTTTATATATTTGAAACAAAATTAAAAGATAGAGTTTGTTAATTTTCAGCTCACCAATGGAGTCTCGGTTGTCGGCTCTCTCGTCTCTGGTGACGTCGATGGGCAGCGAGTCGTCGCCGAGGCTCTTCATCTCGTCGACAGTAAGGTATCTGTAAGGCTGGTCGCCCAACACGGTGTCCTCACCTGAACACAAAAACCGCAAAATCAGGGCGAGGAGCAAAAAACCGGTCGGCAAAGCCAACGAAAAGCCAGCGACTGCCACCACAAATGAGCGCAAGATATAAAGTGGTCGTACACGCGGTCGAAATGACTTCCATGGCAGGAATGAAAAGGATTTGAGTAAAAATGCAGAAACACTAAATAATACGCATGCACAGGCGAAAATGCTTTGACTTCTGAAGTGATTTCTCCGAAGCCGAGTGGCTCATCCTCTTATCTTATCTTCTGTTTGTTTGAACGCGGAGCCGGCCTTTGGGATCGCAAACAGATGGATTTTACTCATTGTCTGAATGACTGGAATATTGAGAGTGAAGCAGACCACATCACTCTTGAGCTGATATAAAAAAATTCACGGCCACGAGGCGCGGCTACAGCCATAGTATAGTAATTTTACAGGCCAATTGGAATATCTTATCAAAATTTTGACTATCTTTTTAAATTAATTATTATTTAATATCTTATCGATAAAAAAATCAACTTTCCTTGATTGATTGTGGAAATTAATTGCAGGCAAATATCTACAATCTAAAACATGGATTTCGTAAGTATAATGAACAATTAATTAGCATTCCCACGATTATTGATAGTGCTATTTAAGTTTGAAAGACAATTGAACTTGTTGCAAAAATTGAAATTTCTTTAGAGCTGTTGATTTAATTTAGAATCGATAAATTCTTGAAACAAGATTCAATTTTCTTTAAAAAAATGCTGCTCTTTTGAATTAAAATGCAATATGCTAACTAGTTAATGACGGACATGACAATAATGCACATTCATATTAATTGGGTGCTTTCGTAACAATGAAGTGACAAAATAAGCTGCATAGCCATTAAAAGAATAAATAATTCGCGATTCGTCCGCACAGAGAAAGCCACATGTTGAACCCAGTCCACCACAATTGTAGCTCCTCGTCAACAACACTGACAATGAGAGAGATGAAGAACCAACCAATTTTTACAATAAAAATCATCGAGTAACAATCAAATGTATAAAAATGAGCAGCTAGTCGGATGCGTAATGGAATTTTTGATACGTGGATTGTATAAATTTATTGATTTTGAGTCCGGCCGACTTACAGGAGAGCAGCATTTGCCCCTCGTAATAGGGCAGGTAGACGTGCTGAGCGTGAGTCGGTTTTCCGTACACGGTCGACTCCATAACATCATCACCTGTGCATTGCCAGCAGAACAGCAGTCAAGTCTCTCTCTCGTTTTATATTTTTGTGTGTTCGAGTAAAAAACCCATTTGCGAAATTAGCACTAACAGTAGTTTATACTTGTATAAGAGATGAAGTAGTAATTTAGCAAATGGAGATTTGCAGTTCAAAATAAAGGGAAAATTAGCAGCAAAAGAGAAAAATCAGCATGCGCAGAGATTGAAATCAAAGGATAGAGGTAAATCATGCAAAGTCAGCCCAGATTGTATGCACTCGGGGTCAGCACCTTTGCACAAGTTGCATCATGAAGGATGGTTCAAAACTTAAAAAGTGAGTTGAAATAAAATTTTGTCAATCACATTGACAGGATTTTACATTAATTAAACATTGACTACTCTTGATAAATGAAAAAATATAAATTAACTTCTTAAGGATTATCACAATTTATAATTTTGTTTGAAGAGCGTCAATAATTAAGAGTGTGAATTTATAATTACAATCAATCTAAAGACTTTTGTGTAGAAGAAATGTCAAAATCACTTACCGCCCTCGTCCTCAGAGTCGGACATGAATGTTTCTTGCATTGTCTCCGGAGCCATAACTCGGTACTTCTCCTCGACAATGGTGGTGGTCGTTGTGGTGATGGTCGTTTCGGTGACCACCTTCAGGGTCTCTACAACACTAATGTAGCCCAATTTCTGGGCAATGCACAAAGCCGTCTGCCCTTGCTGCTCAACAAACAGAAAAAGTAATTAGTTTAAAATTCGAACTCAAAACAAATTAAAGTCTTACATTGGTGACTGCGTTGGGAGTTGCCTTGTGCTCGAGCAGCAGGTTGATGATGAGCGTGTGGCCCTGTTGGGCGGCCTGGTGCAGCGGCGTGTAGCCTGCCGAGGTGCTGCTGTTGACGTCGACTCCGTGCTGCAGCAGGAATCGCACCATGTTCAGCTGGCCAAAGTGACTGGCAACGTGCAAAGGTGTGTAGCCCGCCTTGGTCTTGGCGTCCACCTCGGCTTCGTTCTTGGCCAGAATTGCAGCCACGTTGACTCGGTCTTCCTGGGCGCACAAATGTAGAGGAGCCAGGCCGTTCTGTTCAAAAAATGGGAAATAACGTATTATTAAAAATTACATTTTATTATAATGGTTTGGTTTTGAATTTTTGTTTTCAATAATTGAGTGTAAACAATGTGGAAATTAAACAACAATGAATTTAAACAGAAATTCCATGTATAAAGTGTAAAAATAATTGATATTTTCCAAAGCTTTGTAAAAGATTATTAACCATATTATTCATTTTTTGCACACACAAAAATTGTGATCCATTGCAGAGCTTTAATTAAAATATAGTTGAAGTTAAAAAGTAATTAATTGATTTAAACTTTCACTCTAATTACTAATTAAATCATATTATTGTTTTTTTTATATGCACTCGATTGGATTTTCATTTTTTTTTTTCACCTTTGACTTGTGGTTGGGATCAGCCTGGTGCTCGATGAGAAGGGTGGACATGTCCGTGTGTCCTTCCTGCGAGCTCAGGTGGAGGGGAGTGAAGCCAGCCTTGGACTCGGAGTTGGCTTTGGCGCCGTACTCGAGCAGGGTGGTGGCGATGTCCATCTGGTTCTTGCGGGCGGCAATGTGCAGAGGCGTGTGTCCGTTCTTGGCGGTGGCGTGCGGGGAGGCGCCCTTGTCCAGCAGCAGCAGCGCCACGTTCTGGTGGTCGTAGTGGCTGGCGACGTGCAGCGGCGTCACTCCGTTCTGCACCAGACCGGAATTATACAAATTTGAAGATTTCAAAAAAAAAAAATAGCTCACCTTTCCCTGGGCATCGACCGGCGCGTCTCGTTGGAGCAGCAGCTTGGCGACCTTCATGTTGCCGTACTTTGCTGCCAGGTGCAGCGGCGTGAAACCCTTCTTGGTGGTGGAGGTCAGGGAGGCGCCGTTTTCCAAAAGGACGGATGCGACCTGAGAGGCGTGTCATTTCACTATTCGAACTCTACTGCCTCTTCCAAATTTTTATTTAAAAACTTAAACGTGCCGATAAATTCAGACTTAAAAAATTACTGAGATTTATCTTTAGTTCTATCCACAATTTGAAGAAAATAGATAAAATATTTTAAAACTAATCGTATTCAAATTAATTATAATTTTGATTTAACTTGTAAAAACTATTAATTTTCTTTTTTGATTTTGGAAATCAACTTCGGCACGTTTTCTCTCTTTTTTTGTTGTTGCAGCAAAATATCAGGAATCAAATGATCAAATAATGTGTGATCTAGCTACGATAAAATCTACAAAGGGACCTCCATTGTGATTGAGTTTTCATGAGCCCGGACACATATTACATTTTATCAACAACTCTGTCTGTCACACTGCGTCTTCTCGCCAATCAGAATGGAGCTCCCGTGCCAGTGAAAATAAAACTTTCCCTTGTGACCTACGCCAGCCCTAAAACCCCAAAAACAGCAGCCGACCAACTAAATTTGGAAAAGTATAACGTGAGAGAAAGAGAGACAAGCGCAGCCACATAGTGAGCAATACAGCAGTATATGGCGCTGAGACATGCAAAGTGAAATTACGAAAATAGAGGCAGCTGCCGTTTTTGTGCTCGACAAAAGCAAAATAAGTGAAGGATTGAGCGGAAGGAAAAATTAGCAAGGATGAAATAAAATAAATAAATGCAGTGCTATTTTGAATAAAAAATGAGGCCTACTCTGACAGTGTGTGTTCAGTTAGTAAGTAAATTAAATTTTAAAAAATAAAATAGAGAAGTCTCCAGCATGCAAATAAAACAAGAAGAGTCTTCAACAGTGACTTATAACATACAATAGGCCATTTATTGGTCTCATTATAATTTGAGTAAATAATAAATAACCTCAACATTCCTGAACACATCTTCATTTACATGTACAAATAATTAAATGAATTGAGTGAATAAATAAATACAGCAGAATGAAAGATCCCTCTGGCAGAAAGGACAAGCAAAAGAGGCAACACCGTTGGAATAAAAGGCAAACATGCTGTTTCCAGAAATTAAAAAAATTTTAAAAGTTCGCCTCTTCGTGTCCTGCAGAGAGACTCGACTGAGACTTGGAACATGCGAAAGTGTCCGTGCGAGAGAGGCAGCAGTGGACAGAGCTGTGCTAATAAGTGAAACCCAGGACCCAATCACAATCACTAACCAGAGGACACAGAGATTCGTAATTGTAAGAGAATAAAAGTGAAAATAGTTTGGAGAGAGAGAGAAATAATGAACGCAATTAGGGGTGGGACTCAAATGAAGTATTCCTGATGTTTTGAGCGGAACTTTTCCATGAGATAAAGCACATCAATGTGGTCCATAATGCGACGGCCCACTAAGAATTTTACCTCCTCCTGGCCCTCCTTGGCGGCAATGTGAAGCGCTGTGTACATGTCCTTGGTGGTGGCGTCGACAGCAGCACCGTGCTGAAGCAAAAGCATCACAATGTCTACATTTCCCAGGCGCGACGCGATGTGCAGGGGCGTTTGTTGTTCCTGAAATCAAAAACCAAAACAGGTCAGAATTATAAATAAAATTTATATATTTCAAATGGTCAAAATTTGAAACAAAATTGGCAGCCTTTTTGGAAATTTTACCCTTGCTCGAGCGTCAACTTGAGCTCCGTTGCGGAGGAGAATTCTAATAATGTCGGTTTGGTTGGCCCTGGCTGCCAGGTGAAGGGGAGTTTCACCCCTGACGGTGGGCACATCAGGGTTGGCTTCATGCTGAATCAGGTAAATGACGATGTTCATGCAGCCCATGAAGCTGGCCACGTGCAGTGGAGTGAGGCCAGACTGAAATCAAATTAAAGGTCACGTTTAATTTAATTAATTTCCCTGGTGGAGTGAACTCAAAATTTTGTTACACAACTTGCAGACGGTTGCAAAATAAATTGCTGGAAACCTTGCAAGTATTTGGCATGAAAGAGAAAACCAAGCAAGTTGTGTAACCTTCGAATAAATTTATTATATTTCATAAAATAAAAAGATCATCTCAAAACTTCAGTTTCTTGCATATCAATTTGATTATCTTTTTGACATATTTTCTGAAAGTAAGTCTGAGCTGGGATTTGCAGTTCTTCACCTCTGTGGTGGCTTCGATGGAGGCGCCGTGCTTCAGCAGCAGCTCGACCACCTTGATGCGATTCTTCTTGCAGGCAATGTGCAAGGGTGTGAATCCGTTGAGGGCCCTTGCGTTGGGGTCTGCCTTGCGGTCCAGCAGCAGTTTGGCCACCCTGACGTGACCGCAGTGGGCGGCCACATGCAGCGCCGTCAAGTAGTCGACGGTCACCTCGTCGACGGGCGCTTTGTGATAAAGGAGGATGCGGGCGGCATCCACATGGTCTCCTTGGGAGGCCATGTGCAGGGGCGCCAATCCATTCTGTAAAAAAAAGGGAATTCGGTATTAAAATAAACCTAGATTGCAAAATATTTTGGATTTTCTTTGTAAAAAAAAGTAAAACAGTCTAAGAAAAGTATCATTTTTACCATAAAATGCTTCAAAGATGGACCAAATTTGTAAGGAAAAATTAAAAAAATATTACAAAATTACCTTCGTTTTGGCACTAATGGGCGCAGATCTTTCAAGCAGCATATCAACCACTTGTTCGTGTCCAGACCTGGCTGCGCAGTGCAGGGGCGTCAGTCCGTCCCTGGTTTTGGCTTCGATGTTGGCGCCCTTTTCGATCAGCAGGGACACCATATTGGTTTTGCCCCACTTGGCCGCCACGTGCAGAGGCGTGATGTTGTGCTGCAGAATGACAAAGTTTCAGTTTTACTCGGTACTCTTAAAATAGCCTTTCAGTCATGGATAAATTTATTCCGAGAAAAATTCATTTCAAATCACCTTGGCCGAGTAGTTGACGTCAGCGTTCCTTTGGAGGAGCAGATTGGCGATGCTCTCGTTGCCGTAGTGGGCGGCGATGTGGAGGGGCGTGAAGCCGCTCTTGGAGGTGACGTCAGGGTTGTGGTCGTTTTGCAGCAGAAGGGCGGCTGCCTTGCAGTCGTCCTTCTTGGCGGCAATGTGCAGGGCGGGCAGGCGCACCTTGCCCCTGGTGTCGTTTTCGAGTAGGACGGCCACCACCTTGTCATGGCCCTGCTGCATTGCCACTGCCAACGGCGTGAATCCATCCTGGTGGGACATTCAAATTTAGAGTCAATTTTTCAGAAAACTTAAAACTGTTTAAAATTAAATCCAATATGTACAATTTCTCTTTTTCAGGTGAAATTTAATAATCCTGGAAATTTAAATAATTTTGAATGGATTTAATTTTCTCACAGAAGAATTATTTTAAGAATTTATGTAGCAATAAAATTTTACCTCTGTTGCGAGACTCTGGTTCGCACTGTTGGCAAGTAGGAATTTGACGACGTTGTCGTGGTTCTCCTGGGCTGCCATGTACAAAGGGGTGAATCCATTTTGGCTCTGAACATTGACAGAGGCCCCGTGGTGCACCAGAATTTTCACCACCTCCTCCTGGCCGGCTGCGGAACGACGTTGGTTACAAAATGGGGCGGTTCAAAATTATTCTCTTACCGAGGGAGGCGATGTGAAGGGCCGTGTTTCCCTTCTTGGTGGCTGCATCCACGGTGGCTCCTCGGCTCAATAGTTCAGTCACCACATGTACGTGGCCGTCCTTGGAGGCAAGGTGGAGGGCATTCAGTCCATTCTGCGAAGCAAAAGTGCCAAGTTTTTAACACTTGCGAAAAAATAAAAGAACGCAATAAAAAAAACAATCTCTAATTCTCTTTTATTCTGCAGTGAGTCAGAGTGAGAGGGACGTAAGCCTTACAAGGTTTGAAGTGCAAACAAGTATGACATTGCTGTCATAACGGTCTAAAAAAACAAATCTGTTGTCCGAAAAGGTCAGAATGAGTAAAAAAATCGCGAAAAATGATTTATTTAAAAAAAAATTATATACACAAATTTAGCAGTAAAAGGCAAAGAAAATTTTAAAGTGCCGAAATGCTCTTTGTTTGAGTAGTTTACCCTTTGCTTTTCATCAAAATAATGCACTGGCTGCACTCCTTGAAAGATAAAGTCGCCCAGCCGGATTTTTGAGATAGCAGTAGTGATAAATTTGCGTTTAGTGCCGTGGCACACCTGGGGTTGGGCAAATTGCTTTGCAGAGCGGTGCAGCCGAGTGTGACACGTTATTAGCTTTGGCGTCCACCATTTACCCCAATTTGTGTGCCAGAATTTGCGTTCAAATGCCAAAAGCGACGAAAACGAGTTTTTTTCCCACTCGGCTCTTTCCTCGCCATGCCAGTGACTGGACATGAATGGTAATTAGATTTATCGCCGCTTCGTTATTCAATCAGATTTATATCGAGAGAGATGAAGTCATCGTCGAGAAACCTTTCTATTAACTCGGGAATTAATTCGACGGATTTTATTCGGTAGAAAAACATGTGTAAATCTTTAGGCGGGGGCGAGGCCCTGCAAGTGACTTTTTTTTATTCCGCCTGTTGTACGGCTGCCTCGAATAAATGCAAATTATGCGAACGAAAAAATTGTTTCTCGACTTTATAAAGCGGCAAGGTCTTTTGCGTTTGTGCATAAATATATTTTCGACGCATTTCTTAGATATAAATGTTGCAGGGGGAGTTTTACGGCGGCTTAGAATGGCACGCGATCAGATGCAGTCGCAGCCCCTCGCTTTAATGCTCGCCTGCAAATCGATAAAAAGCGGCCTGCTGGTCGCCGACGATCGCATAAAGTATACGAGTGTGACCAACATGGCTGACACACCCTTGATGGACGATGGTGCTCATGTATCGTAATATAATTTGACGTCAAGAAAAGAGAGACGTGGACATTTTTCATGCTTAAAATAGGCAATTTTTATCTAATTTAATTTTTAAATCACAATTTGTGTTTTGTAATTAATAAATAATAAACGTTTGTTTAAAATTTTCACAGGTTTTAAAATGAGTGCCAATTCGAATAGACGGTTTGAAAATTTAATTAAATAATTTCTTTAAATTCAATTCATTTTTCTCCAATCTAGTCGTCATTGGGGATTTTTATCATTCACATGAATAATTCTGAGTAGGTCTTAAATTATTTTAAGCACGGCGGGCTTTAGAAAGTAAAAGGCTCTCAAAAATATACTGAAAACTCTCCAATTTGTTCAATGGAGAGCAGCTGAAAATGCTTTGTTGCTCTTCCTGAATTTGATTGCTAAATGACTGGTATTTTACTAGATTTAAGAGAATCAGAAAAAATATAACCTCCTGAAATTTCAGGACCTCAAAAGCCTGAGTATAATTTCTATTCCTTTTAAAATGGTATTAATTTGCATTTATGGAAGAAACATGACAGAATAAATCAATGAAGTAATTAACATTAAGTTGTATAAATTATGACTTAATGCAAGTTAAAATTAACAAAAGCAGTTCAATGTGCAGTTTTTAATTAAATTACAATTTAATTGACTTGTTTTGAATTTAAATTGATTTTATACAAAAAGTCACGTTCTTTTAAAAGTTTTTTAAAATTGCGTAAAAGAAAAATGAAATAGAAAATTAAGTTAATCTCTTTTATACTTTTGCACTTGCAGCATATCCAGCATTACAATTTATTTCCCTCCATCGTTCCGAGTTGACCTTTGACCTATTTAGGACATATTCGTAGAAACGAGTGTGTCATATGTGGGCTGACATATTAATTCTCATCAGGAATTCATCATAATTAATTTGGAGCTTATTAAATTATCAGAGATAAATTTTTAAATTTATAAAGAGATTTCGTAAAGTGTTGCTGGACGCCGTCCGTCATCCGCTTCTTAATTAATGGCGACACGCCGGTCTTGAAAAACGGCAATCAAAATTGTAAGTCAAATTTTAAGTGCGTCCGCGGGTAGAGCCTCCCACTATTCGGCCAAATTATTTTTACTCGCGGTCCGATGACCCATTTAAAAAAAAGCGACGGCTCATTCCGACTCGAGCGTGTTTTGTCAGCGAAAAAAAAATACACACTTAAAGGACGACCGCTTCAGCTCTTGCATACGAAATGGAAAATAAAAACGTGACTCGTCGTGCATCTCGACGGGCCATTAATTAAACATCAAATGCATCTCTCTCGTGCTGAATCGGGTTTGAGATTTTTTTTGTATTCAATTTTATTTTTAAAAATATACAGACACACGAAGTGAGTCAGTGGATTGTCTGCGCGCATCGGTGCCAGCTATTTTAATGAACGCATCTCGGCTCTTGTCGATTCAAGATTCAAGCGCAGACTCATTTTCTATTTCTTTCTCGAGTGGCTAAGGAACTTTCTGTTGGATCTCGTTTTAAATCGGGACCTGCTTTTCGACAGAGAGGAATTCCTTCGAGGAAAGCCGCGGTGTTTTGATTTCGGCTTGGAAAGTTCTGAACCGGAAAATTGCTTAGAGTCAAGCGAGCTACTTTGGCTTCCTGAATTGGAAGGAGTTTGTGCTGAGTTTGCGTGTTTCATTGAGGAAAAAAAATAAAGAAAAACAGAACAAAAGACAGAACAAAAGACAACACAAGAGGGCGTCGAGACGGCTTTGTTCACATCGATTATTGCAAGTTTGCCACTTAAAGGCTTAAAAATCAATCAACACTTTATAGAAAATATATTGGAGTAAGAAATAAGTAAATTCATATTCTAGATTTATATTTTTAAATAAATATTTGATGTGAAAGAAAATAGGAAAATTTGATTTCGCTAAAAATAAGACTATATAAGATATAAAGAAATTCCTTCAAATATTTTCAAAATTATTAAGAGAGTCATTGTTTTAAAATTAAAAAAAGTACATAATTGAAAAATTGTGAATATTTTTGTACTTACTGCGTTGGAGGTGTTGATGTCGATGTTCGATTTGAGGTATTCCAACACCTTGTCCAGATTGCCCGCTCGGGCTGCACGGAGGAAAGCGGTGTTTCCATCCGTCTGAAACAAAGCAATATCCGCTCGTTAGCACAGGGTTGAGTGTGAAATAATATGCGAGCACCCCTGGCCCAGCGTAATGAAATTTCCTGTCAGTATCCGGCAATTGCGGCAAAAATTCGTATCGAGTTTCCGGAATTCGCGCGCGGTGAAAAGGGGCCAGAGTTTTTATGCACGTGCGTAAAGCGTCCGCAGATGTCCTCTAGAGAAAAGAAGACGACACCCGGAATGAATGGGCGGCTGCGTGAATGCTCATGAATGCGCGGCAATTCTAAAGAGATGCTGCGTCGTTATTGTATACGGCCCTGTAAAGGGAGTTGAGGCTTCATCTCCAGGATCTGCCTCATTTTTCCAAAGAGTGAGGTGTGTTCGAACGTTAATTTGAAAAAAGCAGAAGTAGAATAAAAGGAACGGCTTTTAATTATTTTTTAAAAGCAAAACCACATTTAATATCATTATCTCTATGCTTGTGATAGTTTCTTTCTATTTCGTTTAGAAGAATTAAAAATTTATGTTTAATGTGATATGTAAAATACATTCCAATTTGAAAGTCTAATTGTTTTAAAGTAAAACCAAATTATTTCTGGGATCTTAATTAATTTTGACTACTTGGACAAGAAAAGAAATTCCAATGGAAAAAATGTCAAATTTAAATGATAAATAATTGATTTTTGTTTTGTTATACTAAAAAAGTGAATTTAATTTTCTATTGAAATTTATGGAATTTGTTCTATTTTTGAATTGAAACTAAATAAACTTTCCTTAAACGAAAACAATCTCTTTGAATAATGTATTTGGAAAATTGAATGACTTTCAACTTCAGGAAAATTCAAAATGGCACAAAATTTAATTTTCTCCCAACTCCTTAATTTTAAAAATTCAGAATTTTTCATTTTTTTTAACCACACAATGTTTACAATGTGTTTTCAGTGCCTTATCTAAACAATCAATTAGGTCATCAAACAATTGATCGTGTTAGCACTTCTTCTTCTTCTTTCAGCCTCGCGGGCAAAAAATCGAGCGGAAATTTCGCCTGCCTGAATTTATTTTGGTGGTTGAAAAGCCGCCTTTCACTCATTTATCTAGGAGGAGGTGCGGCATGTGAGTGTGTCTGCAATGCAGTGTAAATACAACGTATATGGCGGCGGGCTGCTTTAGGAGCCAGTTTATTCTCGCTTTATAGTACATGCTATTGGCTCCGAGTCACCAACGCCAGCGGGCACCATTCTTCCCGGCGCTTTTTTTATACTTTTATATTATTTGGCACCGAAACGTTTCGCACGTGTTCCACCGAGCAAAAAGGATGAGAAGCAAAAGTTTTGATGTTTGATTTGCAACGCTTTTGACGAATGCAGCTGGGAAGAAAAAGCATTTATTGCGCTCTAGATTAATGACTTTGGCGGCACCCTCGGCATATATACACGCGTGAGGGGCTGACTCACGCACGGTTTGGTTTTATTGAGCATCCCTCTCCTCCCCCTCGACCTCCCCAATAATATGTAACTTCTGTTTATCTATACAACTCGGTGAATTCGTGAAAAACTATATTATGAAGTTTCAAAATGCACTCAAATTTGAGCTGGATTGATTTTTATCATGATTATTTTAAATAGTTTGAATACAAGAAGAGTTTTTTTATTATTTAATTTTTGCCTTTGAAAGTTTTATTTGAAATTCTAACGTGGCCCGATTTTTCTTTCACACGTTGTCGCTATTTCAGTTCGGCGGCGCAGACAATTACTAATTTTCGTTTGTCTGGCGCGCCGTCAGGCGAATTCGCACTCCTCGGCGAAGGTCAGAGGTCGCGGCTTGCAGCTCCACGACCGAGGTTTGAGCAAACCAAGCGCATACGTAATTACATCAACTGTGCCTGCTCGGCTGCGAAAGTGTGTAATTTTGAGAGCGATAAATTCGATTGCAGAGAGATTTTATCTGATGGCGAGAGTCGCGCTCTTCGTGCAAGCAAGCAAGACGCGAGCGAGCACAGGAATAAAAATAAAAGTTTTACGTCAAAATCACGTCTTCGATTTGCATACAAGGCCGACTGGATTATCAGATCGATCTAAATATTGAAGGAATGTAATAAAACTTGATGAAATTTCTTCAATTTATCTCAAATATTTTTGAAATAATTTTGACTAAAATTTAAGCTAAAAGTTTTGATAAAGAATCTTGAAAATAAAACGCCCTGACCTTTTTAATTATATATTTTCTGCTAAAAATTTGTATTGTTTTAAAATACTTTTCACTTTTAATTCAACGCTAGTTATTAAAGATTTCCGAAACCTGAAAAAAATATTTTGAAGCTCTTTTTTTCAACTCGATTAAATGAAAATTTCTTTTAAAGAATTTATCCGAAACAAATTTCCACTCCACTATTTCTTATCCTTTTTAAATATCGCCCTTTAACTTTCAAGACCGATAAAAAGCATCAAAAGAGTGTTTGTGAAAAGTGAATTTTCGGGAAATGCCGGCGGTGTCTGCTTGCTGGGTGGTGAGATAGAGAGTCGGTCGGTCGGTGCGCCCGTGCCTGGCGTGGACGGAGGCATCTGCCAGAAAATCAATACCAACATGGCGAGTATGCACGCGCTAGCTGCCGTCTGCCGCCCCGTACTATCGTCATTACATAAGGTTTCCCCACGGCTAACGCCCATACGAGCGACGGCCCAAGATTCGCTTTTCGCCCTGTCTTGGGCCCGAAACCCGACGCCCTTCACTCGACTTTGGCCCTGCGGCGACCTTGGGCTGCACCCCTGCCGAGCACGAAAATTGCTCCTTGTTCACCCTTTCAACCCAAATATTGATCCGCGGCTCTGCCCACAGGCGGCTCCGCCAGCGAAAAATAAAAAAAGGAGAACGCAGCGTTTTCGCATTGGAAATTCGCGAGAATTCATCTTGGCAACGGAATTGCTCAATTAGGAAGAGGACGGAAGAGGATGAAATCAAATTTGAGATAAAGATATGCAACAATACAGAAGAATAAATAAAATAGCACATTTATGCATAATTTTAAAGAAAGTATTTCAAAGAAATTGTTTTCAAACCCTTGAAATTTAAAATTAAATATTTCAAACTTAATTTCAATCATAAAAATGAAAGAAATTCAGTAAAATTCTGACAGATTAATAAAAAATTCTTAAAAAAAATACGTAAATTGGAAATATTTTAGCTTTTAGAAAGAATATGAGATTATTTCATCCCCTAAACCACCCTTTGAGGACGATTTCAGCCCTTGCTGAGGCTCACCTGTGCGGTAGTTTCGGTGACCATTGTGCCCTCCGGAGCCGAGAATCGGCGGAACGTCTACGGGCGGATCGAGTTGCGTTTCGCGGGGGCTAACACAGCATGCGCCACCCTGGCTGAAGGGCACCCCGAAGGCACCCTGGCGGCTTACTAAGGGCTGGCTGCTGTAGCTGGCGAGTCGGCCGGCCGCGACAATGCCGCAGAATGGGGAGAGTCGGCCGAGACAGGGGCGTGGTAGAGTGGGGGCGCGTTCGCGGCGTGTCGGTCGCACTCGGCTGGGTGGCGCACCCCTACCCTCACCCCCGCGCGGCCCGCGATGGTATTGACCCGACGGCCAGCCATGTGCATCTATTTTGTCAATAGCCGCACCGCGAACAAGTGCACCCATCTCTCGCCCACTTTCGTCAAACTCAAATTTTGGCGGAAGCGCAGAAATTTGGAAAGGGAAGTTTTTTTTATTTTGTTTAAAATATTGTAATTAAAAAATTTTAATGGGTTATTTTTCATATAAAAAATACTGTTTTTTATAGACATTGAAAAAAATTAAAATATTTGCTTTCTATCTTTTTTTAGCTTAACAATTCCCATTACTTTGAATTCTCAAATTCTCCAACAAACAAAATGATGAAATCTAACTGAAGTTTAAAAAAATTGAATTCAATACTCTTTGAACTAAGAATATCAGGGGAATTTTCCTTTCTTGAATAAAAAAAGGACTATTTTTTATTCGTAAAAATTTAGAAAAATCAGTTTTTGAAATTATTTGAACGTTTTATTCAACAGTTTTGAATTAGCCAAAATAAAATGCTTTCGAGTTTGAAGGTTATAACTAAAAATATAAAAAAGGAAAAATAACATTTTTATTTCATTTTTATATCAGCATTTTAATTATTTAAAAAAATCATATTATATTCATATGTAACGGCAAGAAAAAATTCCTCTGTAATGAATATTTTCCTTTTAATGCTAAATTTTAATTTAATTTATTTACTTCATGGAAGTGAATTTCAAAATTCAAAATAATGAGCCACCTTTAAAAACGTGACGTTTTAAGTAATTTTTATTCAAATTCAATCAACTTGATATTTATTTGACTTTCTAAAACAACATTGATTCAAAGAGTTCTATAATCAGACAAAACTCGCGGAAAGATCCAAAATCTTATTATTAAATGAAATATTCACACCAATCTTAAATTCGTTCTAAATTTTTTTAGAAGGTGCTGACTTTTAGCTGCACATAAAAATTGAAAAGATATAATCAAACATGACAGAAAGTGTGTGTGCATAAAACTTAAGATTAAAATGTGAGCTTTTCATATCGACCAGCAGATTTTCGCGCAAAACTTTTCCCATTAATATTCAACGAAAATCTCCCTGACAAACAGGAGAGGAAATTTATATATTTCCAGGCCGAATTCGCTGAGTTTGCCGGGCGAGCGTTTTCAACAGGTACTTGTTTGCCTTCTCTCTTTTTTCAGTTGGCGCCTGCCGGCCACAGCATTGCCGGCTTTTTTTACACTCGTTCATTTTATTTATTTACTCTGTCGCCGTGTGCGACAAAGCAAGAACGAGTAGCTTTCGAATATTCCAGCCTGCTTCTGTTCAACGAGCAGACTCTTTTGTTTCGGTGCACAAACGGGACTGCCGACCACCCACAACAAAAGCAGAAGGGTGAAGCGTCACCTCCACTCGAGGGCCACATTCAATGACTCGCGCATGCACCGCAAATTTTCAAAAAGGAAGAAGCCCCCCTTATCG